GGACGGAGTCGCCCGGCCAGGGCGGAGCACTGCGCATGCGCTAAGGGGTAGAGTCGGTGAGCCAGCGGCGGCGCACTGCGCATGCGCTGAGTGGTTAAGTGGGCCTGCCTATGGCGGTGCACGGCGCATGCGCTAAGGGGTGGAGTCGCCCGGCCGCATGCGCTAAGGGGTGAAGTTGGCCAGCCAACGGCGGTGTTCCGCGCATGCGCTAAGTGGTGGAGTCGGCAGCCAACAGTGGCGCAGGGCGCATGCGCTAAGCGGTGGAGTCGGCCAGCCAACGGCGGAGCACTGCGCATGCGCTAAGTGGTGGAGTCGGCCAGCCAACTTTATTAAACAATTTGAACAAGTTTACAATACCACGAGGCATGTACACGCAAGAAGAAAACAAGTCTTACAGGCTTATGGCACACATAATTATAACACAAAAAAATAAAATAAAATACATAAAAATAAAGAAAGTAAAATAAAATTATAACTTAAAATAATTGAATTCAATTCAATTTCAATTCAATTTTATTTATATAGCGCCACATCACAACAACAGTTGTCTCACAGCGCTTTCCAAACAGAGCAGGTCAGACCTACTCTGAAGTTAATTACAGAAACCCAACAATTCCCATTGAATTGAATTGAATTGAAAGCCTTTATTGTCATTGTACACAGTACAATGAGATTTGGAGAGCAGCTCCGTAAAGTGGACACATAAATAACACATACATACATATACATTACATTAGTACAACTGGAGTACTAGATGTTGATTTAGTAAGGTGACAGCTTTGGGGAAGAAGCTATCCCTGAGTCTGTTTGAAGAAGCTATCCCTGAGTCATCAAACTTATCCTGAGACATCAAACAAAGTGATAGCGTAGACTAAAATAAACTTTTTTTTTTTTTTTTTAGGGGCATTAAATCTCAAATAAATTTAGATCAATATAGGCGTTCAAAAGTTGTATTCCCTGCTTGTTTTTCAACAGTTTTAAGGTTCTGAAGTGGTTGACCATTAGGAGGTTTTTAAAGGCAGAAAAGTCAGGATTTCTATTTCCCCATTTACAGGAGTGGATGAAGAATTTGGCAAGGATCAGCAGGTTGTTAAGAATGAGGTCAATTCTTTTGTCTCTGTGGGTGGTTCCCAATATTATACCCTGCTTTCTTTTTAAGGAACAATGCAGGGAAAATTTTGATGAGATCCAGTTCTGGAAGTTTCTCCAAAATGCTCCAGTATACACACAATATAAAAAGAGATGATCTGTAGTTTCAATGTCATTGTCACAAAAGGTACAGCTGTTGGTATCAAAGTTGAATCTTTGTCTTAATAGTTCCCTGGATGGAAAAATGTTATTGAGAATTTTAACTTTAGGACTCTCCCTGGAAGTGCATATAAGTCTACCCAATACAATATATCTAAAGTAACACCTACCATACATGTTACTACTCTGAAATTTACAACAAAGTACAAAAAGTGAATATAAAAATAATTATTGCGACTCAAAAAGTAGCAGTTCAATTTGTGAGAGGTCGCCAGCTAACGGCGGTGCACGGCGCATGCGCTTAGCGGTGGAGTCGGCCAGCCAACGGCGGCGCGCTGCGCATGCGCGTAGCGCGTCGTCACGTTCTGCTCCTCGGCCCAATCAACGGGAACTTTCCCCACAGACTCTATAAGATGGCGGCCGCCGACCCGGTGAGTTCCCCCCCGAAGAACACGCCAGACTCGCGGGCCCGGGCGGCCTCTGGGCCCGTTTAACGGGGCTAAATCTGCCCTAATGTCCGCCGGGGACTGCGACCGTTGGTCCCGCGGCGGCCGTTGACCGTTAGTGCGCGCGCACGTGCGGGTTCAGCCGTTTGGAACGGGGCGTCGCGTGCCACGACCCGAAAACCGTTGGAGCTCCAAACTTAAAACGTCAACATTTACACATTTATAGAGGCTTCCGATCAGTTCTGAGGCTGTTCAGGGACTTTTTAGGGGTCCGGACCCCCGGAAAGAGTCTCCCGCTCACTGAGTCCGTATCTGAGAACTTAGAGAAGCTTTTTGAAAGGGAAAAAGTTTGTTTGTAGTTAAATATCCCAGATGTCAAACTGGTCTGCGCTGGTCTGCTGTGACCTCTGGCAGCTGCCACTTTAGGGCTACGATTACTGTTCAGTAGACTTAATTCCGCTTATTTAAAGTTCTCTTCTTCAAATGTGTGTTAAAGTACAAAAACAAAAGTCGTTTCATCCGAAAAGCTCGTCATTGTACACGTGTCACTCTTTGCTCATAACCGAAATACAGAACTGTTTTCTCTTAATGTCAGTGCCGATAAAGTTTAGTAGGTTATAGCAACTATTTTCGCCTTTGACATGACAATAGATGTAATATTTGAAAGTCAGTAGCATTTAAAAGTGAGAAAGTGGCGTCACATCCCTCTCAGATGTGTTCCAGATGTTCAGAGGTCTGTTTGTGGGAGCTTCCGGCCTGGGATGATGCTTTATTTCACTCTGGCTTGTGCTGTAATGTTTAGGACTAAAACAGATGCTTTGTTGGCTGTAGTTTTATTTGTTCAGTCCAGGGGTTTTGTCCATGTTTAGTCCATGGGCGTCAGCCGATGGGTGACAGAGCCTCTGAACACCCCCGACTTCCAAAGCCAAGCAGGATCTGAAGCATTTCAGGGTTTAATGGCAGCAGATAGTCTCCTCCAGATGTTGTCCTCCAGATGTTCTCCTCCAGATGTTGTCCTCATTCTGGAGGATGGTTCTCTGGACTCTGGTTGGATCAGAGCTCAGATGTTGGTGATCAGACAGGTTTCTGTCAGAGTCTAACCAGAGTAAAGGAGGACCAGTCCAGGTCATTTTCAGCTCCAAAGAGGAAGAAAACCCAAGTTAGGACTCATTAACTGCAGAAACAGAGAGGATTAAACTGGATTAAACCAAAGGAAACCAAATCATTTGCAGTCTAAAGTGTCTGTCCATAAA